AACAGTGCACTACAAACATACATTATGCTAAAAGCTAACAGCGCCCTACGGACAGACAGCATGCTAAAAGCTAACAGCGCCCTACGGACAGACAGCATGCTAAAAGCTAACAGCGCCCTACGGAAAGACAGTATGCTAAAAGCTAACAGTCCGCTACAAACAGACAGCATGCTAAAAGCTAACAGCACCCTAAGGACAGACAGCATGCTAAAAGCTAACAGCACCCTACGGACAGACAGCATGCTAAAAGCTAACAGCACCCTACGGACAGACAGCATGCTAAAAGCTAACAGCGCGCTACAAACAGACAGCATGCTAAAAGCGACTGGGCGACAACAGCAATCCTTTTTTCCAGCTTTTATTGTCATCACACCGTCTCTGCATCGGGGAGGGGTGGCCTGGTGGCAGAGCTCTGCTCTGAGAAGGTTGCAGGAACGCGGTTCGATCCCAACAGAGTGTCCCTCTGGGTCCCTGAGCAAGACCATTAACCCCACACTGTTCCCTGGGCGCCGCACAATGACAGCCCTCTGCTCCCTGAGAGTTAGTTCCTCTGGACCAGCACCAACGCTAATGCAGATCTATCAGCTGATTGGCTGTGGAGGGAAGCGGGTTCTGATGTCATCGTTTCTGCTGCCTTTGAAGCAGCAGCTTCAGGATGGGCTTGATCAGAACCAGAAGCTCCACTGTCTAAGTACGGGAAGGATTCAGGACTTTGTTTCCATGGCAACCAGGGAGCAGGAGGTTGGGTTCCACGGATCCTCCTGAACCCAGAGGTTCCCAGAGCCGGTCCGACCCGCTCACTGGTCCAGCCCACCAGGAGGGGGTAGCCTCCATGTCCAGGACCTAGAGACCCGGTCTGATCCATGCGTGTGGCCCTGATGAAGAAGCAGGGAGGTTCCTAAGATATCAGGTTACTCCGTTACTGGGGAGACTGGGAGCAGACCAGTCTGCTGGGACTCCAGCTAATTAGGAGCTGCAGCAGGTGCTGATCAGAACCTGCTGGGAAAGAGCTGCTCACCAGGAAGGAGCTCTCCTGTGGTTCTGTGGAACATTTCTCCAGGGTTCTGACCATTCACCACCAACACCACCATCAGCAGCAGCAGTGGCACCACCACCACCATTTGCATTCCTGGGCTTCAGGTTCTGCAGCTCCCGTCCAACCGAGCGGGAAGCTCAGGTCAGGTTGGGTCAAAGGTCATGACCCTGAATCAGTTTTAAAGAAACCAAGATGGCTGCAGGACTGAGCTGCATCTGGACAGAGGAGACATCTTGGACCATGATGGATGAAAACCAAAGCCAAGGGATCAGAGCAAACAGCTCAGATGTGAAAACCAGTGGTGGAGGTATTATGCTGTGGGTTCTACCTTTAGACAAATGTGAGTCCATCTGTCCAAGGACCTTGCTCCAAACTGGGTCATCAACAGAACTAGGACCCAAACCCAGCAGCTCCACATAATGGCCTAGTCAAAGCCCAGACCTCGCTTCACCTCAAAGAATGGATAATTTTCCCAACTCAGGTAACCACGGTTACCTGCTTCCTTACCTGGTAGTAGGTCTTGATGTGTCGGGTCAGAACAGTGAGGTTGTAAAGGCGCAGCGACACATCGTTGTTCACATTCTTGTTCAGCCTCTGATTGGTTGGGCTTGGGTCGCTATGGAGACAGAAACAAACAGAACAGGTTCTGGTTAGGGGTGTAAATATAATCATTCTGTATCGATCCATCGATCCAACAGCCAATGATAGCGACTCATGTTTTTTTTTCCTCCGGTCTATTTTTATCAATTTGTTCCTGGGTGTAATTCTCCCTCCCGTGCTGCGGTGGCACTAAACCTATTTTGCCCTCCTACCTCGCTTCCTGGTTATACTCCTGCAGCAGTGCGTCACAGTGAGCTTGACGCAGACATTTTTTATTTATGCTCAATATTGAAGCCTGGTCTGAGCGACACAGTGTGGATCTAGATACGGCCGAGGCGGCGAGGAAGTGGGGGCGAGTTTAGCCCGACAACGGAGGGACATGAGGGCAAAAAGAGCGGAGATCCAGGTAGAAAAAGGGTCCCAGCGTTCTTGCGCAGCTCGCTCTTCTAGCTGATCCAACTTCACGAGTTGTTTTCCTCAATTTTGGTCATAAAAACAAAACAAGCCGGCCTCCTGTCTGCGGTCAGCTACAATTTGGGAGAGGAGCAGCGGAGCGTCTGTGGAGGACGTCTGGAGCCGAGGTATTGCATTGCACTCATTGCACTGATATTGTGCAGTATTTATTGATGCAAGACCTTTCAGGATCTATAACGCAGGGGTATTATTATTTTTCAGTGAATGAGGTTTTAATAGGAATAGGTGGAGTGCAACTTTTCTAGTTCTGTTATTTGCTGTTGTTTCTCAAATAAAGTCCATTAACGATATTACAGCTTTCATTGATTTATTTCCAATCTGAAACATTTTCTAGCCTGTGAGGTAAAAAAAATAATGAACTAATTAATCAAATCGTATCGTGGTGTATTCTTGAGAATCGAAAATAATCAAATCGTTGGGTCAGGAAAATCTACACTGAATTGAATCGCCATGATGGGTGTGACTTACACCCCTAGTTCTGGTTCAGTGAGACAAAGATCCACAGTCCCTGCCTGACCCAGTGGTAGGAATGAACTGAATAAATGATCTAAATTAATGAACTGAATAATTATATTTCTTTTATTTATTTTATGATAATAATTTGTGAATAAATAAAAAAGAAAAAGCTGTCATATGTGGATGCGCTGTATATACTGTGTAGATTCTATTCACCTTTTTCTTCCTTTGGCTCCTGCTTCTCTGACTATCTGTGTGTGTTTGCACGGCGCTGGTGAGCGGGACGGAGCGGTGAGGGAATCCCTGGTTCTGATTCTGGAATGATTTACCGACTGACTGCTTCATCAACAGTCTGAGCAGTTTCCCAGCTCCTCCATCCAGGAAGACCCCCCACCCCCACCCCCCTCTAACCCACTTTCTCCTGTCGGCCCAGACTGAGCTTGGCTTTAAAAACAATGGCTGATTATCTTTGTTTCTGCAGACAATAGCAGATTGGAGGCGCGGGTTCGTCTGGAAGTCCAGGCTCAGAAGCTCCTTTCTAACAAAGGGTGGGGGGACTGTGACCCTCTGCATGGCCAGAGCCCAGCAGGAACCCACTAGCACCACCTAGGATCTAACTAGCACCACCTAGGATCTAACTAGCACCACCTAGGATCTAACTAGCACCACCTAGGATCTAACTAGCACCACCTAGGATCTAGCTAGGACCAACTAGGTTCCAAGTTAGAGTGGCTCAGGTTATCCTGAGCTTACTTTATAGTTCTGCTGCTATAGGCTTAGACTGCTGGAGGACATAGCGACCCCTTTTTCATCATTCTGCTTCATTCTATCTCTGTATAGAACAGGCTCCGCCCTCGTTTGATGTAAATGAAGAAAGAAAACCAGAATTAGCTTCAGCAGATATCAGGGATCGGCTGCACTGATCGGCCTTAGGAGCCGGTGTCGATACCAGAACTGCTCAGGCCCGGCGCCTGTCAGTGACATCACACCATATGATTGGCTGAGCGTTGCCACGTCGACAAAAAAGATCCTGATTGCCCGAACAACTATAATAACATCAGGTAGCGTCTGTGTGCCGAGTCAGGAGCACCTGCAGTGTCTCTGTGTTAGCCCACGCTATAAGGGCTAACACTGAGGTTAGCTAACTGTAGCTAACGTTTTAGCTAACTATTTATTACATTTCCTACGAGTGGAATAAATGTTTTGTCTAAAATCTCCATGACAGTGGTTTTGTAAGATCTTCCCTTCGTCCTCTGCTGCTCTCAGATTAATAAGAATAAATAATGAATGTTTGAGCGTTGCCTAGCAACGCCTAACAGCAGAGCTCAGTCTGTCCTCGATGGTCTCTACTGTTGGTCGCTGGAGGAAACGTAAACTAGCTGAGACCCCTGATAAACGAGCGCCGTACACTTGAGCAGCGTTGTCATATTGTGATGTCATCAGCAGGGGCCCTGAGCTGACCTGGTACAGATAAGGGGACACCTCTGGGTTTTTCTGTTCGGCCTGGTTGTGGTTCCTGTAGATCGTGGTCCATCCCTCTGATGATCTCTGCAGCTCAGGATGTCAGACTGATACAGGAGTTAAGCCCCGCCCCATACTCACATGTGGGTCATGATCTTGTGCAGGAAGACGCCGTCCACCAGCTCCATGTACATGCTGACCCGCTCCTCTGGACCCACATCCTCACCTGGTCCCAAAGGGCCCAACGAGCGCACCTGGAGACACATTATGGACCGGGTCAGAACCAGAACATCCACAAACCCACTTAAACTTAGAAGCCTTACAACAATTCTTCCTCCTCCTCTTCATCACAGAACAGAGTTCTGATTAAGACCCAAAAGAACCGAGCCGGAGAAATGAACCCGTTAGTCTGGACCTGAGAGAGCAGAGCTTTGCCAGCGAGGTGGAAGTCCAGAACCGACCGCCGGGCCGACCGGACCGGACTGACCGCACCTCACAGGTCGGCGTCCAGTTCTGGTTCTGTCTGACGGGACGGACGCTTCGTCCACAAGAGCTCTCCATGGTCCTGTCATCTAATGAAGCCGACTAATTCTGGTTCTGGACTAGTGAGGCGTGGAGCGAAGCTCCGAGTCGCTACGAGTATCGGCGCCTGTTTCTGAGTGACTGGCTGAACCGTCAAACATGGAGGATCAAAGGTTTCTGCTGTGGCGCCATTTTGAGCTCATGGTTGGTTTTATTTTCTGGTTATTTGAATTTAATTTAATGATTCACCAGCATGATGCTGCCACCACCAT